AAATTAGCTGGAAGAAATGAATGACGACTGAAAACTGCTAGGAATTTTGGCTTTCAATCCAAACGCATCCCTTTCTAAAAGGTGACTTGTACTTTTGTAATCACTTTCCTTTCAATGAGTTTTAGTAAATAATATTTTCTTTTTTTTAATTTGTTTTATAGATAAACCGAGTGCAATCGAAACTACAACAGAGCGAACATTATTATAAATATTAAGCCAGCTGTCGATAAAATGTTTTGCTTCTGCTGTGTGCGCTACCTATGTCGACAGATATAAGTAGTATGTAACCCCGATCGGAGGTGGAAACCCTGGCAACCGAAGGCTAAGAAGATCAAGTTGGAAAAAAACAGAAACGGAAATAGAAAGGAATTGTGACTCGGAAGAATCATATAGAATGTGAAGGGAAAATAATGGACCTTCGCAAATGAATTCTTCAATGTACAGTTTTCATATTTTACCAAGAGCTTCTGTAATTTTGTGCTAAAATATACTGGTGGCCCTCCACTCTGTGTTCGTTCACCACACTACTCTGTAATGAATCACACACTTTATTTATCATCCTAAACTTTAGGAAAATTTGCATTCGGGATACTGAGAATAAGCTTATTGCGAAACTCATCATACTATATATATATATATATATATATATATATATATATATATATATATATATATATATATATATATATATATATATATATGATAATTACCGTCCTCATCTTCCTCCTCTTCTTCATCACCAACTGACACACCAAAATCAGTTGGCCTGCTACGAACAACTCTGTCTTCATCAAATTCTTCATCCTCGTCTTCAAAGATTTGACGTGCAATAGCTTCTCTTCCTCTATCCTCTTCATAGGTTGCTTTCTTGGATACAACTTCATCTTCATCTGCCTCATCGTCATCATCAAGCACCAATCTTCGTTTTTTCTAAATAGAGTTCAATAATAATGAGAGCTTGTAAGGAAATAATATGTTAAAGTATTCAATTAATCCATGAACAAAGATGTAAAGTGAAAATTCTGTTATTAAGATATTGACACTCAGATAGATAATGACGGTATCTGACTATTTCGGCATCCGAAATATATTATCCTCAAAGACACCATAGCTTTTTTGATATATTAAACTCAGTGAATCTATCATGGAAGACAGACCGTCTTTGTGTAATAAGCAAAGGTGGATATCCTTTAAAGTGATCAAATTCAATAACGTGAGATTCTATACTACTCAAGTAAGTTAAATACAATTGTGAATAAATTAGGAGGAACTAAAACCCCAATAAACAGCACTGGCTTTCGTAAAATCAATGAGTGAAAATAACAGCGAATTCTGATAACCAGGATTATTCTAAGAGGTAGATATTTTAAATATCCTTTGGCTTTGAAATACATAAGTGGTGGTGATCACTACCTAGATTCTTGGAATGATTTAATATATTATGGTTTTAATTTGAAGATTTCCAGTTTTTTGTATGAGCTACTATACCGTCAGGAACCATAGAATCCCTGATAAAAGTAATCACAAAGTCTCTATTCAATATTATATCTATTACAATACAGAATTCTCCGTCTACAATATTTCACCAAGTTCTTATACGTCACAAAACAATGTGTATATTTAGATGGCTAAATCACTAACATGAAATACCTTTTACCACGTGGCTTGGAAATGTACTAACAATTTCAAATAACAGTGGCTGCCAGTAGCTTATTATTTCCAAGCGTGTCCCAATAATTTTAGGGTCAAAAAGAAGCCTCTGATACTTAGCTTCCTTAAAATATATTACTCGCGTAATATTTGTTTCTAAATCAACGAAACTTAATTTTCAAACGATCTTTAGACGGTTTGGAGAGTACACAATTAGGTACAACTGAAAGGCTATCATAAACATTAAATATAACGGTTTTTATGAGATCGTCTTAAATATCTTATAAAGGACGAAAAGCGAACCACTTAATTCTTTCACTAAGTTAAGTGGTAGTAACGACAGAGACAAGCATGATAAAAAAATAAGTGTTTATTTAACTGAAAAGTAAAGGATCAAATACAAAGATCTAAAACAAATAACTATTAGCTCTAAGAATACAACTTTCGGCGCTTAACAAAGATAGTCGAGGAGCTTGGTTATCGTTTCTTTGTTAAAAACGGAACTGAGGTATTCACTGTGCTGCCAGCCCAATACAGTCTGTATGACAGTTCTCGGAGGCTCACATTCAGAATCTCAGTACGGTGGGATAAGTGATTTACCCCAATTGATCTAGAGCATTTTAGGCATGGTAAAGGGGCAATATCATACATATTTGGTTTTGTCATAGCATTCCACTATGAAGTATGTCTAAAAGTGGGTTACCCGATAAGATGTTCATCACAAACTGTTAGAATCATGATAAATAGCCAGATAAACCTCTATACATGAAACAATTACCTGTTTCTTCAAATTGATACCAACATTTTCTTGGATGAGTTGAAAATCATCATCATCCAAAGCGTCGTCTTCATCATCCTTGTCTGCTTCGTCCCCAATTTCCTCAGCATCATCTCCATCAGAGCCTTCGGATGCACCACCTTCGTCTTCTTCTTCATCCACAATCCAGCCTTCGCCTTCTTTCCGACAGATTTCTTCCTCATTAGCTAAATCTTCTTCTTCGTCGTCGCTATCACTGGAATCTGGATCATCAAGGGCAGGCCGCTTGTCCAGTTTCTTCTTCACTATATCGTCGTCATCCAAGTCGGAAAGTTCAGAGGCCTCAGAAGCTTCAGAGTCCAAAAGAGAAGACATAATCTGAAAAATGTGTCCTGCAACGGTTAGGTACTAATAAGCCTCCTTCTTGTCAGCAATTATGCCGCTAAGGCAGTTTGAAAGTGTGTTGCTATGGGGTTTTAGTTAGCACAGAAATCTGGAAGACGAAAGAAAAACTGGATTCAGTAACTAAATATATAAATAGATACAAGTGCAGTTATCACTGAAACGAGATGATAACTGTTCACAATACACATAAAAGAATGAGAAACAATGATATCCGACACTAACAGTATAAACATCTCAGATAAAACTGCAACAACCAAAACCTAGAAGGTTTGAAGTTAGCTTCTAGATATGAGGAGATATTCAAAGCATAAATGCGATCGCATGGAACAGAAAACATGAGCCGAAGATTTATTTAGCACAGAGTATATGTACATAGCAATAAATATTGGTCAACACTAGCTCTAAGCGAATGAATGTCAGTCAGTCAGCTACAATGTAGGATCAGGCACATATATGCATCGATTCAAGTTACCATACCTCATTAACACAACAAGATGAACATCGGATTCATAAAAGTAGTTAATTCAATGGTGGTAATATATAAAAGAAAGATTGCATATAAGGATAAAGTACAAGAAGAAAGAATTAGTTAATAGAATGAAAGATATGAAGTGATTTTAATCTTTTAGTTTAAGGGAAGACAGATAGTGTATACACCGACGCCATTGTGATCGATTCTAAGCCATGTCACTAAGAGTCTCCGACTCCTCCTTACGATATTCACGCGGACCCCAACCACGTATTCTGCATCTACCGACATGGCTCAGACTAGAAGTTAGTGACTTCAGGCACTGATGCCAGGTTTTGGTTTGGCCAGCCCTAACTTTCTTCCAACCATCTCCAACACTAGTCACCATTGCACGTCATGGTAACCGGTGGTTGCGTATATATAATACGTGCTCCAACCATCTCAGTCGATGTAGATTCATAACTTTATCAACTGACTTATTATCATTCCTTAATACCTTGTATCTAGCATCACCATTACCCACCCGGTGATCCCAGATGTCAGCAATATTTCTAAGACATTTGTGATCAAATACTATCAATTTACGAGTATCTTCTACTCTTAATGGTCACGTTTCGCGGCCGTAAAGTAGAACAGAACAAACTGATAGATGGATATCTCGCCTTCGCTACAGATAACGTAAGTTGGCAAAAGCCAAACTAGCCTTTCAAAAGCGTGCAGAGATTTCGTCAGACACCAAACCCATCAGGGCTGACCAGACTCCCAAGATAAGTGTTGTCGACAAGTTCGACTACTTCACTTCCTATCATTAGTTCAGGTGTTGACGCAGATCAGTCCTGAAGCAGCAACTTGCATCTCGAGAGGGAGAAACACATCTCAAACATCCCGAAATTGTTGCTCAGTGCTATCAAAAAACTGCATTTTATCAGCGTCTTGACCAAACAGGACTGTCATCTGTGTATTCTAAATCGGTAGGGGGACCTCCTGATAGGAGATCAATTCCTGAAAATTCAGCTGACGAGAACGTTATTTTCAACAGTAGGTCTATGATGAAACTAAACAAAAATGGAAATAGTGGACAACCTTACCAGACACCACTTAAGGTTTAAAAACCAGATGACAGTTTGCCATAAGCTGACTCGACTGGCGGTGTTCGAGTAAAGAGACCTCACAGGGTTTATGTACTTCTGAGGAACACCTTTCAATGGCAGACACTGCCATAGAACCTCACGGTCTACAGAGTCAAATGCTTCTTTTAAGTCAGGAAAAATTATTTATTTATTTGAACACATAAATATTGGCACAAGAATGCACCAAATATATATGCGCCACACAAAACAATGAGAATTTAAGGGGAAGGAGAGAAAAAAGATTGATGTAAGGTGGTGTAATAATAATAATGGTAAAAATGGCGGAACAGAAAGGTACAACCAGAAGAAATCTCTCAGTTAAGGGAGACACAACCACTTTTTATGAAAAAAATAAAAGAAGCTTACAACAGGATCGCCACTGGCTTCTATTCTGAGCCATATCTGATAACGTCTCTAGTCACTGTGTAGCACGATCTCTCAGACCCCAACAAGGGAGTCGTGAAGGACCAACACAAGCCAGTCCTTTGCAGCTTTCTTTCATACCACGACACCATGCCATACACTGACCACTTCTTCGCTTCTTCCAACCAGTCCCAGAGTTGGCAAATAATGCACAACGTGGAATTCTCTAGGACGACATTCGTAGAACATGTCCAAGCCACCGAAGTCGGTGTTTCAAGATGGTGACACCAATTGAATCATCATCTCTGTGCCCGAACACACGATGCCGAACCTCTGCATTACTGACATGGTGTTGCCACTGAATGTCAGCAATCCTTCGGAGACAGCGATGATCGAACACAGAGAGTCGTCTAACGTCCTCAACTCGGAGAGGCCAAGTTTCACAAGCATAGAACAGAACTGCTCTCACCGACGCATTGTAGATCCGACCTTTTACAGCCAGACTGACAACACGAAGGCGCCAAAGATGGCCCAGATTGGCATAAGCCACTCTGGCTTTCACTATACGTGCATTGATCTCATCACTCACACCCCCACCAGCAATTATGCAGCTACCCAGATACACGAACCTCTCGACTACTTCCATCTGCTCACCATCCAGAGTGAGTGCAGGGCTAGAATCCTGCCAGTCTTGTAGAAGTACTCTGCACTTCGAAGGTATAAAGCACATACCGTACCTACGGACACTGATTGCCAACTGATTAAGTGCGGATTGCATGCATTGGGCATTATCGCACAGTAAGACAATATCATCCGCATACTCAAGGTCTAGAAGTCTTTCTCCAGGTAACAGATCCACACCACCATTACCTACATCCATCAGAGCTGTTTCCAGAATGTCATCGATGGCAAAGTTGAATAGGAATGGTGAGATTGGGCAACCCTGCCTAACCCCACTGCTCGAATGGAACAATGGAGAGAGGTGGTTGTATGCCCTCACTCGACCTGAGGTGTTTGTATATAGGGCTTTTAGGATGTTAATAAACTTCTCAGGCACACCCTTCCTCAACAGACAATCCCAGAGAACAGTCCTATCCAACGAATCGAAGGCAGTCAAGAAACACTACGAGTGTTGGCCTTTGACAAGTATGGCAGTGTTCTAACATTTGGCGGAGGGTGAAGATATGATCAATACATCCTCGACCAGAACGAAACCCAGCCTGCTCCTCGCCAGTCAATCTTTTTCGGGTTTTGAACAACCCTACGAAGTATGACGGAAGCCAATAGCTTGGACGCAATCGGAAGTAGACTTATCCCCCGATAGTTGTTACAGGAACGACGTGAACCCTTTTTAAAGACAGGAACAACTATCGACTCAATCCATGACGTTGGTACACTCTTTAACTCCCAGACCTTTGTAAACAACGCCGTCAGTTCCTTAGTCAGAAAGTCACCACCATCTTTAAAAAGAACCGGAGGTAAGTCATCTGGGCCAGGTGATTTGTAGCGTTTCAAGAGTTGGAGTTCCTTGCGGGCTTCTGCCTCATTTGGTGGATCAGTCGCTACCGGCCATGGAGGGCAGGATGGTCTGATCGATGTTGCCGGTTGAACTGCCCTTCGAAAAATTCTGCCCATCGTCCAAGACGTCGATGGATATTAGTGATTGGAATCCCGTCATCCTCGCAGATTGTTTCACTCACACCAGACTTCTTGCTGCCAGTGGCTCGGATGAGCTGGAAGAGCTTCCGGTAGTTACCAGATGCAGCTGCTGCTTCCAGCTCATTAGCACGCTCCCACCACCAGGCTTCTCGGTCCTTACGCAAGCTTTGCCTAATTTCCTTACGTAACATCCTTCGTTTGTGGTCAAACTCACGGTCACCCGGTGTAGACCGACGGGCTTTAATGAGTTGTAAGGAACCAGAAGAAACCCAGTGCTTATAAGCGGGACGTTTCGCGAACCCACAACTGAAAAATTATCATTGTCGGACGCTGATAAGCGTGCCTATGTTTTAGAACCTGACGAATGGTGAATATATGGTTGATGCAATGTTCTATTCAGGGTGTTTGGAAAAGGTGGGCAGTCGTAGAGTAGCTGGAGGCCAGCCGAACTGCTCCTTAAAGCGGATGACTAATAAAAAAATATAAAACAACTCGTTCATAAGGTATTTGGGTGTAAACTACACACCAGGTATTAGGGCTAGTGATACTACCCGGTTGCCCAAACTGAAATGAGTAGAGGGGAATTCGGACGTAGAACCTAGGGGCTGAAATTCGAATGCCTTTACCACTAACCACCAGTCTACAACTGAGTGATTATAAAGGTAAGTGAGTAGAGAAAGGTATCAACTGTATTATCAATGTTAATCTGACCACAAAGTGCTATCCTAATGATTGAATGTTACTGAGAGGAGTTTAGATGTAAATATAGATGTATATATGGATGTAAATATTCAACGTGATCACTAATGCATCCTACATATTAATCTAGTTGAGCGAAACGGACTTCACTTCTAAAGTGTGGCGACAATTTGTGACGCAACTATATAGATGTTTATTGATTATTCTCTCAACAGAAACAATTGTCAGTTGGCTATGACTTGAATTTTGCGAGTTTCTAGCCTCCGCAAAATAAGATAGATTAACGCCGGGAGTATTGGTAAGTGGTACATGAAGTATGTATCCTAACCAAACTCGTTGTTTCTTTTGAAACTAGTTAACTAGTGTGGAAAGCGAAGAGGATTAACTAGATTGGGTTGTAAGTCGGTGTTGTGAAAAAACAGCATGACGAATTGTTGTCCTTCGAGCTATAGATTGTAATAGGCATCCAGAATGTCTATGTTACGGAATTATGTGGTACCAAAGGTTTACTGAAACCTTAACACACAACACAGAGGCGGCTTCCCCAAAATTTCCCCAAAATGGACTCAATTTTCCCCAAAGTTGGCAGCTTGGGAAGTCACAGGATTGTCATTGGTGTGTAAGAATTATCAAAATTTACACAGAACTGGATGGCCAAATGCTGAAAGTGAAATGAGACAACAACAAAAGTAATTAGATGATTGCTCAATAAACAGAAAAAGTGCACTTACATTAATTAAAGCGTTACAGAACAAAAACTCAAATCACCCCACCAAGGTCATTTGGTTTCAAATGGGTACAGAATAGTTGAGGCTTCACTCAGATAATTTTCATATTCGTGTAGCACGGAGAGAAGGCCCACAGTTTATATGATCTCTTTTCTAGCATGCTTCTGTCAATGTCTAGCCTTCTCTTAAATTGGTGCGGTCACCACTTTTTCTAGCAACAGGTTCCAAGAATTGATGGCTCGGTGTGAAAACCTGTGTGCCACGAGTATTTTGTTCGTTCTTAGCTTTTCTATTCACCTGCTATGTCATCTAAGATGTTTTGATCTTATGGGAAGGAAAAGGAGGTGATATATTAGGTCCGAAATCATTTCTTAGTATACTATACATTAAAATCAGATCACCTCTTCTCCGATAGAACAGAGAAAAGAGGTCTAGCTTTTCAAGCCGCTCTTTGTATGGTGAATCCTGGAGCCCTGTACTTGCACGCATAACTGCCCTCTGTAATTTTACCAGGAGATCTGAGTAACCTTTTAAACAGGGGCTTGTAGCCTGAATTCAGTTTTCAAGCTTAGTTTTCACTACGGTTGTGTATACTGCAGTGAACACAGTGGTTTCTAACTTGGTGAATGTCCGTCTTAAAGCCCATATGGTTCTAAAACTTTCAGTTGCAACCTCGCTCCAATGGGCCGTGGTCTCAAGATCATGACTTACTGGCACAGAAACTTCCCCTGTGATGTACTTATTTACCTTTGTATCCCAAAAATGCATGTAGGCACACTTGACCAGGTTGATAGGCGTCATCCATTTTTAGGCCATCTAATCACAATATCTGAGTCTGCCTGAGGTGCGCGTGCGTCTCTTGTTATTACTTCGCCAGATTTTTTATATCATCAGCGTCTCGTAGCATTTGGAACTCAACTATACTTGAGAGTTCATTTACACACAGTATAAAAATTGAAGGACCTAGGTCAGAGCCCTGATGTACTCCACTAAGTACTGGTTTTCAGTTGGAGCACATGGAATCTACTCTTACTTTCTGTCTACGACCTACTAGGAATTCCTTAAGCCATTTTAGATATCCGGTAATAACTGTATTTTTGGCACTTTATCATATGCGTCTCTGAAGCCTATGTATACAACATCAATTGATTTTCTATTATCTATAGCCTTTACCCATTTCTCCCTTGCCATAAGGAGATTTGTTATGCAAGATAAACTTTTCCTGAAATCATTTTGCGGGATATTTAACAAGTTTTTATTTCCACGAATGCATTGAATTGCTCTTTGATTATTCTTTCTGGTATTTTAACTACGACACTGATGAGGCTGACAAGTTTGTAGTTTGATGGAAGTTGTGCTGGTCATGTTTTATGTATTAGAGTGACAATTGCATTCTTCCGGTACGTAGACAACTCATCTTAGCCAAGTGACATTTTAAATATCCTAGTCAGTAGGGCAGCAATATATTGTGCAATTAGTTTCAAAATTTTAGTGTGTAGTTCATCCGGTCCTGCTGACCTTTTCGTCGTCTCTATCAAAGTCCACAGTAAACAGACGATTTATCGACTTTGTATTTGGGTTTAGTTCTTCGTTTAAAAGAGGCTCCTGAGTGAGAACTGTTTCGAAATAGTGTACCATTGCCTCCGCTTTCTTCTGATCATCCTCTGTCATTTCAGATCCACCCTCTTCCCTAATTAGGTTGCATCATTGATCTGTAATTCATGTACGAGAATAACCTCTTAGGCTGCGTAATTACAGATTGGGCTAAATGCATTTTATATTTTCTTTGAGCTTCCCAGATTGCAATTTTTACCGACCTGGAGCTGCTGTGACAAGGCTGATAGTAGCGTTCTGACATTTCTTCTTTTGTCTTAGTAAACGTCGAATATCCTGTTCCATCCAGAGGTGACCGTGCTTCTTCTTCTTCGAGACTGTCCAAGGTATAAACCGTTGATTTACATACTTTCTTGCGCATGTTACACCTCATGAAGGGACATAGGTCGCCCACCAGTACTCTTCATCCAACCCTGTCCTGGTGTGGTGTTTGAATCAACTAATGACTCCTTTGTACTCGTTGAATGCTTGATTTTGAATTGCAAATGCAATACGTTCGTTCGTGTTTATCTTGTGCTTATTGTTCCAATTGCTTTATTTCTGGGATTTTTAGTTCGTACTATAATTCAAATACCCCTATTTATCATACCTGAGTAATCCTTTCCCATTCTTTCCAGCTGCTGTTCATCCTGTTCATGTCTGTTTCTAGTTCCCGACGTATTGTGTTATTTGGTCTTCCTCTTTTCCATTTCTCCCCATGATTTCTTGTTAGGGCTGGCCTCGTGATGCAGTATGATGATCTTTGTAATGTCTGTCCTATCCACGCCCAACGTCTTTTCCTGGTTTCCTCTCCAGATTGAATTTGGTTTGTTATGTCCCACAGAAGGCTATTGCTGATAGTATTTGGCCAATGGATGTTGAGTATCTTGCGAAGACCACTGCTTATAAATACCTGTACCTTCTTGATGATGGTTGTAGTAGTTCTCTACGTTTCAGCTCAGTACAGTAGAATTGTCTTGACGTTTGTATTGAAGATTCTGATTTTGATATTGGTAGATAGTTGTTTTGAATTCCATATGTTCTTCAGCTGTAGTAGTGTGACTCTTGCTTTGCCAACCCTTACATTTACACCAACATCTGATTCTCCTTCTTCATTGGTGCTGCTTCCCAGGTATGTGAGGGATTCTACATCTTCCAGAGTTTCACAATTAAGTGTGATTGGGTTAGTGTTCTCAGTGTT